TATAATTATTATATATTTTTGTGAAAAAATTTCAAAATCTTTTCTTCACCGGAAACGTGTATTTAAATTTGCTTTTTTATAGAGAATAAAATAGAATCCGAGATATACTCGCAGGATAATCGCGGCATATGAGATGATCGTATCGAGGACGCGGCAACCTCATCATCATAGAGCGAGGTGTCATTTCGAATCTTCGTCATCCAACCGGGAAAACCGGTTTTGACCGGCAGTCCGAAGTTCATTGATTCTCGTTGATCCAAGAAGGCTTCCTGCCTGTCGGGATAAGAAGGACGCGTTCATCTTCCTTTTGGAACTGTATTATCGTCCTTTAACACCACGTTTCTCTGATGACGAGTCGCGAGATGCATTTAAAGAGAGAGAGAGCCATCCGTAATTAAACACTCATTCGAATCGGCACTTCGCGCTAATTGGAACGTTCGATGATGAATCTCACGTGAGAATTTATCCACGCGATCGATGAGTCGCGCGTATACTCATCGCTGAACACTACTCGCTACATACTTGAACCCCCGTCACTGCGAAACGACGACCTGGAAACCAGTCGACCTGACATGTTTCGCCGCCGATCACCGCGAAAACCAGATCGCGAACGACAGTCTTACTGATTTGGTTAAGAGTACGTGTAATTTATAATTTATGCGAAGATAATATGAGAAACATTTATATGCTGTGCCACGTATTGTATTTATACGTACGCGTTTCACAATTTTTCATCATAAAAACTCCAGAAAAAAACTTATTATCATATCGATGTCATACATTTTATAAACACTGTTTTTACCATTTTTTGTGTTAATACCAAAGATAATCGAAAAGATCGAAACGTCCCGTTTGTTTTCAGTCGTTTATTATTTTCACGGGCGTCGGTGCATCCACTGGTCTCATTCGATCTTACTTGCGTAAATCAAAATTCGTTTCGTCGTGTCGTTACGGCTTATGTAACATAGCGAAAAAAAAAATATGTGAAGCATGTGCACGCGGAAATGAGACGATATATATTGTCTACGTTGTTCGTACGGTGGCGCGAAACCACGTGGTAAAATTCGGCAAAGTGACCACGCGTCGCGACGCGCCCATAAATGGCGCGGGCGATGGTCCATGGTCGTAACCAACCCCCACCACTGGGGGAATGTGCGCGGTGGTCGAGAGCAACGAGGCTTCTCCAAAAATAGGACGACCACGACGACGACGAGACGTCGTCGTCGTCTTCGTCGTCGTCGTCGACGAGTAAGAAGACTGACGATGCTTTCGCGGCGTGTTCGTTCTAGTGACTCTTGTGGTATAAAACACATTTCGACACATCGCATGTCTCCCGTCGATTTTTAGTGGTCTCTTGGTCTCTGGCGCATTGTGTGCTTCTATTTTTATTTTGCGGAGTTCGTGGCTCTCTCCTTTTTTCCTCCCAAGTTGTTGCTTGTAGTTTTCTACGTGTCGTTGCGCGCGCGCAACAAGAATCATCATCGCGCGCCTCATTCGTGGGAATCATCCACGTACGCCACGTAAATCAATTCGCGAACTAATAGCACGCCCACGATAATTCACATCGCGTCAAAGGCGGTTTTCGCACCTACGCTACATAGACCTGATCGCGAAGAATCGACGCGAGTTTAACGCTAATGCACGTGGCGATCGGAGCGCGCGCGTACATACACACACACGCGCACGAGACTATTTATAATCCAGACTCTCGTCCGAGCGCAAGACGTCCAGAAATAACAAATCTCAAGTCGTAGGTCACGCGAATAAGGCAAATAAGGAGACGACGCCTACTCCTTGATGAGCAATTATAACATCACGTGTGTAATTTATTATTTTATTCGGACACGCGCGAGAATAAAAATTTTCTCGATTGTTACAAGCTCAAACTTTTCGTTTCCGAAACGTTTCAATTCTCATTATAAATTTAATTGATTTTATTGAAGTAATCGAATTGATTTCGAGAATATTTTCTACGCGCAAAAGTATCGTTCGTTTGTAAACAAAAACTCTTACAGAGAGAAAAAGAGAGAAAGGAGAGAAAATATATCTTACAGAATAAAAAAAAATATAATAAAGATTCAATTTGAAAACACTTGAGTTTTCTCTCAGTAATTTTCGCAATGATTTAATTTCACGAAACGACTTCCCGTCTCGCCTAGTGAAGTGACACTACAAGGAGAGAGATCGCGGGTATAATCGATCCGTGTGGGAAGAGACAGCGGCGGCGTTTTCGCTCGCGCTAAAAAAATCCAACATACCGGAAGAGGCTGGGCGGCCAAGAAAGTTCCTGCCGTTCGTCCGGTTGCGAACAGGACAATTGCGATGTCGTGGCCAATTAAGCCACGACCCACGCCCGATTTTTCTTTTCAGTCGCTTTACCCGAGCCTCTTCCGCACCGATAACATCTTCGTCATCCCACCCTCGAATCATTCATCGCAGACTTTGCTGTGTTTACACACCCGACATGTGCATGTCGCACACAGAGACTGGTATATGTACCGATATATGAAACTTGGCTACTCAACTTTTGTACCAAAGCTACCACACATCTACACGAGAAAACTTTGCTATTTCACTTGTCAACGGATATCAACAATAAATAAAAAAAATAGAGAAATTATAGTTGTCACAACCGGCTTTAAAATACCACTTTTTTTTCTGTGTCTCATTCGCAATTGTTCGAACCGTTCTCGTTTCTGTTTTATTTTTGCACTTGATATTAAAAGCGGACACGATTAAGTTCCGTTACGCAAAGCGTAAAAAAAAAAAAAAAACCGCTTCAGTGTCACAATTTTTTGCTCCATTCTTAGGCGGCCGCAAAACCAGTTTCGTTTATCGAAGAGACTGCGAACTTACCACATAGCCTGAACGGAGACCGGCTTGAAGATATGTTGACGGCCGCAGACGCTGACTTTGAAACCTCTGTAAAAATAGAAATCTGAATGTCAGAAAGATGACTTTTGAATAATCTATATTTTTGTTAAGACGATCATGTGAATTATCTAGTCTACAAACAAGAAAAAAAAAACATAATAAATAGACTGACGCGAACAGGCGTGGAATGATTACGTTCGCGCGACGGACGGGGGTCAAAGTCGTCATTTCAAAGTCGTCGGAATAATTGCCAATGTTGCGCCGATGAGCGAATAATAAGAGCGTTGGGTTCATCAGAACTTGCAACGGTAACGCAATTTCCGCGTGCTGCAGTTACGACACGGACAGAAGAAGAATCGCGCGCATTCAGTGCACAGTCATTAATTACGTATTATGTAAAAGAGATCGCGCAGCGTCACGATTCGCGCGCGCTGCCGTAATAAAAACGTCGACAAAATTTCCGGGAAATCACGTTCGTCTATCCCGCAGAAAAGAAACGGTATATATCCGCCGCGCGTCAGTCGTTACATACACGTATTATGCCGATCGTGGTTCGATGCGCGTACTTTCTCTCACTCTCGCAAACACGGAGATTCTAAATCAGAACGGAAAGTAGGATTGAATTTAATATCGCGCAGCAATTCGCACAGTATCGATAAGTTTTTTTGTTTTATTTGTGCAACTTTCAACCTCACACAAATCGGTCGGATATTTTATTTCTCTCGCGGATGAATGTTGACTACTCCGATACCAGTACGCGAATGCACAGGAAATTGTCAAGAACGCACGCGGAACAGAGCGCGATTTTTTAAATTCGTACTTTACGCAAGCAAGTAATTTGCCATAACTTGCGGTTACACAAGTGATATCAAACGACGAAGAAAAAAATTCATCGGGCAGCGCTGCGAGCGCTAAACGCTAAAAACGTTTTACACATGCAAAAGTATGTGCTTCTTGCGCCAGTCTCGGAATTCGAGCGCGAGTTGTGTATGTAACATCGAGGAATTTGTGCGCACAGAGTACTTCGTCTCTCTTTCTTTTCGCCGAAAGAGAGATGTAAAAGGGACGGGGAAAAAAAAAAAAAAAAAATGCAATTCTCTCTCCCGAAATTACTCGGACTTGGCACCGTTATCATCGTAAAGTAGACGCCCTCCTCTGGGCGTTTCTCCGGCTTTCGAATCGCAATTCGCCTCTCCGGTCGATTACAGTTAACCCTACGCTACGCACATTCCACACGACCAGATTTTATTAAGTTCGGATCTCTCGGAGGCAAGCGTCGAAAAACAAAATTGTGTATTCTTTTCGAGAACAAATTTCCCTTACTTATTTTAATATAATAAAATAAAATCTTCCTGTGAAAAAAAAAACGACATTAGAAGAGGATAAGTAAGAAGAGAGATAATCCTCTAAAGAATATTTTAATATTCTTAACACATTGACGTCGAAGAACGAAATCTCGTTTTATATTAAAATTTATTGGCTGACGAGAGATGAGATATCTCGTTTTGAAGCAAGTTTCTACTTCAAATCAATTGTTTAGAGAACGTTAAACTCAACGAAATTAAGGTAAGCCTAGGTCGCCGTTGATTGACGCAACCGACCGTTGTGTTTCGTGAATCGAGACGATCGAGAAAGCGAATGACGAATCGCGATTCTAATGCCGAGCGGTAAAGAACTCTTGCAAGTTTGCGACAGCTGTATCGAGAGAGAGAGAGAGAGAGAGAGAGAGAGAAAGAGGGAGAGGGAAGAAGAAGAAGAAGAGATACAGAAGAAGAAGAGAAAGAGAAAGATGAGGCGGAGAAAAGACCATCCGCGTCCCGCGAGGGTCATCGACATCGTAGGAACGCGAGCTGACCGACGTTCGCGCTCATTTTCTTTTCTTACACGCTGCGCGGTTCTCTGTCTTTCTTCCTTTTTCCATTTGCCACGCATCGCGCGCTTTCGCTCTTTCTCTCTTCCTCTGCTCATCCGTCCGTCCGTGCGTATATCCCTTTATCGCTAATTTCGCGAGAGAATCCGACCGAACACACCGCCCAGTCAATGTGCTCTCGCGTGGGTAGACTTTTTTGCGACGCGGAAAAGCGCGACAAAGTTTCCGGTTTCGCTTTTCAAGTCGCGCGAAAAACTCCCTTCAAGCCGTTCAAACACGCCACGCCGTGTCAAAATCGTTTTGTTGTTGTTGTCGCCACACCGCGCCGTTGATAAGAAAATTCCACGGTCATTAAAGTTGCTCTCTCTTTAATCTTCAGAATAATTATAGACTCTCTTTTTTACACAATACGAGTTCTACACTTTTTTGTTTTGCAACATTTTATTTTAACACGGTTGATTTTGAGAAGACCGTTAAAAAAATCAAATGTGACCCCTGAGTCTCTGAGGGTCCACTTTGATGATATTGAAGAGACTTGAGGAGTCTCAATTGTCGCTACGACCTACAAAGCTATTATTTGTTATATAATCGGACAAGCTATTAATCAATTTATATTTAAGTAACAACGTATCACAACAATTTATATGATAATGGCGTGGCAATTTGCGATATCAGAATAACGTGATACACACGCAACGAGCCACGTACGTACACGCTGATACTTCAATCTACGACAATGTTTCTGTGATTTGCAATGATCGCGATAGAGAACACACACACGAGGTTCGTCTCTCCGATTTCGCAAGTAACGACCTTCGGTCGTAACCTTGACAACTCACCTGTACCTTGTCTCTAATACACGCGTGTGTGCCCCGCACCAGAGTATAACGCGCTCCATTTCCCTGTGTGCCCGAGAAGAGCGAGGCCGCGACCTTCGCATTTATCTTTATAGACAAGGGAATTATATATTATGTTTGATATGACGGGGAATAGGAACGGGCGGACGATTTTCTATGCGACTTTGCAACGTGAATGCGACGAAATTGCCATGTGTGAATATATACAAGGTTTTTACCTAATTTTTTACCTAATTAATAACAACTTATGAAATAACATCCGATGTGTTTTTTACGAGCTACGCTTTTACACTTTGTTCCTTTTTTCGACTGCGGCATTGCAACGAGAAGAATGCAAAGAGAATTAAATTCTAGTTTCTTTGGGCTATAAGTCGTATACTCGGAAAAATGAGAGAAAGGAGGAGAAAGCATATCGACGCGAGTGCATTATCGACAGTATTTGTCCGTATCGGTATTTACGAGAAAAACAACGGCAGTAAGACCTAGTCTCAAACCCGCGCGTTAAAACGCTTATGAATATTATATTATTCTCCTTTCATTTCGTGACGCACACCTTCAAACTAATTATCAATGCGACCGATTCGGAGTTTTAACGTGGCAATGAGTCACTTTACAAGCGGAGAGAATTGAGCTAGCGACTTTGTTAGAAAGTAACTCGTTTTGCTGATACACTGAGAAAATATTTGTTACACGATCGATCAATTTGCCGGATACGAGACGAACATTAGACTGAAGTTAGCAAATGCTGCACAATTTTTGGTTCAAATATATTAAATGAAAAACAAAAAAATTGGCAACTCAAAGTCTAACACGGTTTTGTTTGGGGTTATAAAATAACAAATAATATTTACTTTAACTTGCACTTTGTTAATTTAATTTGCGCGCTAAACCAGAAGATCCAAACATCTGCCAAAATGCAGTCAATGTAAATACTGTAAAATAATTTATTATTAACAAATATATATATATATATTTTACAAAGACTGCCAATTTTACTCGGAATAACGTTGCGCAACAATTTCTGCAATTTCTTAGCGCATCGCGCGAATCTATAATCATCGGAGAGACGTGCTAATTCGCGGAACTGATGCATCGCAGGAATATTACAGGAAGCAACGAAGATCGTGACGCATCTTGGTCGGCTGAGTAGCTAATAGCGTGCGCGCAACAAACACAGATCGCAATGAGAGAAACGGAAGATCGAGAAGAGGGAAAATAATCGTGATCAGGAACTTACCCATCGCCGTCGAGAGTGATGGCGGTGTCGGCCAAAACTCGCAGCACGAGACCGACGGTCGCTCTGGCGTGGCAATCGATACCGAGGAGGCAACTCTCTTCGGCGTCCTGTCTGCCCGTGCACGAGACGACGACAAGATATCGCGTCCTTCCTGGATGCACCGACTCCAGTTTCACGGCCTGAAAGCAAAACACAAGGATGAGGGATCTCCGATTACTCGCGATGCCGTTTAGAGACTGTATAATCTGCGAACGGATATGTAAGCATCGCGTCGTTTTATAAACGACGAGAAGAGAGAAAAAGATAAAAGACTCCACTCGAGTGTCTACTTCTTTCTCCGTCGTCCATTTATTGATTGCAAGCAACCGGCGGCGCAATGAGATGCACGAGGTGCGTCTACTAAAAATAATATATACGTTTGAGTTGCATCTCACAAAATTATATATAAACTTCTCACTGTAATTAAAGGAAAAAACCAATGTGAAAAATATTCCTACCGTATCACCTACAAAAATCAAAATGTTCCGCTTTGAAGCCCCGAAAACAATAACAACATTGTAAAACATTCTTCTTGATATTTTATTATTTGACGTTATAGAAATGTTTAAACGCGGCTCTGTATATCGAATTTATCGATGCCGAGACGACGACGCTTGCAGGAGTGTTTACAGGTGCAGCGACCCCGCAAAACGCACATTTTTGCAGGATATAATGCGGCAATTAACGCTTCCGCGCTTTCCATGGAGAATTCCGACCGCGCGCGATAAGAGACCGGATTTTGTCGGTACGATTGCATCGCTCTCGCCACGCTCTCGGCAAACAATTTTTTTCGCCGCGCGACTAGTAACGAAAAAAAGAAGAACGCGCGTTATCGCGCATATACTCGCGCGCAGTCAAGCGTGACGCGAAACGCACTCGCAGGCGTTAATAAATGATAAGTCTATCTCACGTGGGCACAGAAGTTAATTAGGTTTAATACATCGATATCTCGCAAAAAAAAAAAAATCCTCCCCGATGTAAGTATGTTTCTGTCTGGGATTTGCGGCGGAAAGAAACGTGCACGTAAGTGATTCGATTTTTCGAGCACTGCGTATTACAACTCATCTAACATAGAAAATTTCTCATTTCTGAAGACGGAAGCGGCTGGTTAGCGGATGTGCGACAGATATCGCGGTCACGATTCGCCCGTTTCGAACCCGACTCGCTTGTTTAGCCGTTTAATCACCGAGCGGAACCGATTTCCCGTACGCGATTAATAACACCGGTGCGATTTAGCGAACGACGGCGACTGGTCGTTTATTCGCTCGCGTCTTTTGCAAGGATTCCGCAAAATCGCAAAAAAGCAGGAGGAAGAAGAGAGCGAAAAAGCGGCGAAAGTTCTCTCGACAGAATTCATAGAAAGGGAAAGGCGGATAATCGCCGATATATACGCGAAACTTGACTGTCTTGGAGAGATACAGCGGAGATAACTATTAATTATAAACGATAATATAATTAAGCAATGTTTCTCCCGAGTGTGCGGCGCGTTTTGTCCACGAGAGATTTGAAAGTTCGACTTTCATTATGGTCAAGGCGGTTTCTTTGTGAAAAAAAAGAAACTGCGCATTAATTCGCGCACAAATTGCGCTAAAAAAAAAAAAAAAAAAAAAAAAAAAAATCCAAGAGAGGTTAAAAGTTCAGCGTTAAATTAGTTTTTGACACACTGGCAAGACGGTAGTGGTGGACAGCTTGCGACATTTGTCGCGGATGTATGACGCGAGCTTTAATTACGCGTAGTTAACCTCAATGAATGGATAATTAGCCGATTCTTAAGAGAGACATATGCGTTAATTGCGACGCGTTTCCTTCCGCAACTGCGAAATTGTCACGTGTGGCAATTGTATAGAATTTAAAGCGTTATCGTTGTTACAACTGGCCACACGCATTGTTTCAAATTACCCTCGCGACAAGAGAAAGCAAAATATATAACTGTCGCGAAATTGAGAACGTCTAAATAATTCAGTCTTGCTAATTGGCACGCGTCTCAGCCATTTCTATATCATCATCTATTTTCGGCTGTATAATTCGAAGGATTTTAATTCGGAGATTCAATTTAGGTCAGCCCGATTGAATTTATATATAGCCGTATATCACAGCGGTAAGTAAAACCATCTCCGCGATTAAAGAGCACGGTGTATATCTCACTTTAATTAACGCGTTAGATAAAGAGATAAGATGCATTTACGATTACATGAAAAATCAATTACATAAAAAATCGATTTTATAGCTATCGAATTTCCAAATCGTATCGCAAAACTTCTCGGCTTCGCGCTTTCTGCACGCACATGCGAATCTGTGTCAATTTTATTGCAACGAGCAGCTGACCAAAGACGACGACTCAGTCCGAGTAACGGGCTTATGTCCATCAATCAGGTGTAATATGTCGTATTTGTCGATAAAAAAATTTAGAATTTACCAAGCCGAGGTGAAATTAACGCTATTCGATTTGCCTCGCTGCTACAGCTGTCTTTCTTAAAAAATAAATCGGAAACCGCGGAACGTCTTGATGAGCGAGTCATATTTAAAGAATCGTTCGCGCCGATCGAGAAGCACTAATCAAACTAATTTGATGTTTTTGTTTTTATTTATTATTTTTTTAAATTTTTTTCACGAGCGTAACCCTTTTGAACAACAATTCTTATTATACTACTTATAAAAAATTATAATAAGAAAACCAAAAAACAAAAATAAAAATAAAAACAGCCACAACTATAAACTCGCAATTTAAATTGCGTTAGAGACATGCTGAAAAAAATCAATTGTAAAATATTGTTTTTGTTTACGCAAAAGAGACGTTTTTCTCGCTCGACACACGTTGAAACTTGAGGCACGGACGCGTTCGAGATTTTTATCGAAATAATAAACATTTATAAATATTATGAAATTAATATACTCGTGAAACGCACACTACGAAACAGCTATATAAATGTCGAGAAAATTTAATGGCGAAATAATAGCTTGCCACGCAACGAATTATTAACATTCCTCGGACGAAGAGTGACAATTACACGAAGCCTTCATGACGATCAAGTAACGCGCTATAATCTATGATAATGTAGAAGATTATCGTACATTTCATCGTCGAAAAGAAAAGAATTAAGGCGCTCAAGCATCGGGAACACGAGTTACTTTTACCGTCCTCGTACACGATATTCATTAATGTTACTTATTCTTTCGACGAGATGAGTAATTAAGATATTTCAGTTGATATGTAACAACGCAGAACTTCTTCGCTTTTCTTTCGAAATTAATGAATACCTCGATAAACAAGAATTTTTTAGCATAAGAAAAAGTAGCGCGCTGAGAATCACTGATCTTCTTGTATATAGGCAATAAAAGAACAAAGAGATATTCGAGAAGATCGTCGCACGTATAAATTTTATTTAGGTCACGTGATACTGAAATTACAATACCCGGTTATTGCATTACCCGGTTGCCGGTCGTCTAAGAGTTTTAATCTCTCGAAGGAGTATCTTGAACGCCTAAACGAGATAATTGTTATCGAAAGTTGGAAAGGATTCCGAAGAAGAGGATTAATAGCGAACACAATCCGGTACATATGCCCTCGAGGGTATACTATAAGTCGACTGGACGATATTATCTCCAGACGGTCATTTCTCTCGCTGCACTCGTGTCCGAGAAAGAAGAGGAAACGCAGTTAAGTTAGAAGAGAACGCGTGAACGCGTCCATTATTTTTCGCACAAGCGGCCTTGAAAGACACTAAAGCACGAGGATCAACGCAAACCGGATTCCTACATTTGAGACTATTTATTGATTGTATTCTATATGTTTTGGAGTGATATGTAACATTCCGGTCCTCTTCAGCATGTATATTTCTCAGCGCGCACGTTTGTAAACCTAGGTACGCTATAAAAAAATATTTCAGAGTCCAAATATTACAATTAAAATACATTATTAAATAATAATATATTAAAATATTAAAACTTAAATATATATTATATCGATAAGAGACGTCGTGTTTGTTAACGTGAACAAGCAGACCGTTTGATTCCCGATATTTCTTGTGTCACGAGGATCTCACGAGAGAGGAGGCATCGCGAAAGGCCACTATCGGCACCGTGAAAGTGTTTCGCGCGATCGTGTTTCCCGATCAAGTGCTTCTCTCGTGCATTGCGCGAACCGATAGCTTGTCGGTTCGCGCGAGCGTTAAAACGCGCGGCACAGTTGCGTCCGCGCGCGAAACGAAAGCAAATCGTGCACGAAAGATGCGAAAAGAAAAAAAAACAGATGCGCAGTAAGTCTCCGGCAATAATTCAAGTCGTAATTAGATATTAAAAGAAGATAAAAGAGCGAGAGCGAGAGAGAGAGAGAGATCAAAAGGTAGATTTTATTAAAAGATAAAGAGGAATGAGTGATGCTGCACTCATCGGTATGTATGTGGAAACACCGCGGCAATATCAAGATTAGAAATGAAATATACGGAGCCCAAACGGATAGCTACGCGTAACATTTGCGTGTCTTGCTACAAGATTTGCTGCCAACTTTACCACGGTTACACTTGTCGCGGTGACAGAAAAATATCCTATACGTAGTCGAAATTTACTTGAAGTAAGTTTTTATATTTAATAAAAACTGTTGCTTCCCTTCTCATATCTTATTGTTCTTAGTTTAAATTTACTTATTAGTTTAAACATACAAAAGTTGTCGATTTTTTTCTTATTAAATATAACAACTAATTTAAGCGAAGTTATTATTCTCACTCTCTCAAGTTTATATACTTCAAAGAGTATATCACATTAATTTTTTTCTCGTCCATTTTCTCAAGTTCCAAGACGAAGTCCGTTAAACTCCGTTTTGCGCTTGACGGATTTATATTCATCTATTTAAAAGACAGGATAAATATATCCTCTCCAAGCGGCCGGGAGAGGATAAAAGTCTTCACAATATCTGGATGACCTTCAGGAGATTCTGTGAGACTTCGCTGTGTGCGGAGAGACGGTATAATGGACGCGCGCGGTCCGTGCGCGCAAGCAACACACACGTTCCGTTTCGATGCGTGCATTTGCACAGAGCTCTATCGATCGCAGCGTCATATTCCCTTCGGAAGACGAAAAGAGACGCGCCAAATGTGTAGCGGCATTTATGACGAGACGATGACTCAACGTGAGTTACAAACGT